TGCCCAGTGAGCAAATCTGGTTTTCGGAGCAAGTTTCAGGTGAATTCGGAAGAACCCCGGCGGCGAGCCCTGGCACGCCAGAATTGCGTGCAGTTTCTTACAGTGCTCGAGTTCCAGATAAATTCAAATCAGGGAAGGAAAAGTGGAGGTTTGGTTATGTTTTGGTATCCGGTTACGCCGCCGAATCACTCGAGATGTTGCCACTCCTTTCCTGATTGGGCAGCTTGAAGCAGCATGATCACGTTTTAGACATGTTGCTTGTGTTTTCCTGCTCGTCTCTTGATATCACCCTCTGGGTGGGTAAGGAAGAGTTTTGACCAGCATGGGTTGAGTTCCAAAAGGCATACGAGCATACAGACCAGTTGGTTGGGTCTTTCAGAGATAGAGAAGCCGTTGGAAGAGTGGAGGAAGATGTTTCTTCGTTGGAGGACTTTGAGCGCGCATGGCCACCACCCGAAGGAGCTGTCAAGCTTCGAGAGCCAAACACCCAGACCAGAACACGAAGGAAAGGGAAGTGAAGAAGCCCGTTCTTGAAGGAGTCCGTGCATTGCACAGATCTTTGGATATGGATTGCTAAGATATATGAATATATAATGGTGTTTGTTGTGTTGTGGCCCAATGTTTCTAGACACTGGATGCTGCAGCTGCACACAAAAACTGAAAACGCTGCAGTTGAGGCAATTGCTGACAATCGAGAGTCGAGTGCGGGACATTTTCAAGCGTGCACCCCAGCCAAGTAGAACAATGCAACGCGAGGAATTGAAAGCTCATACGATCCAACGTGTTGCTTTTATGAGACAAGTTGTGGGTTCAACTATGCAACGATGTCAGAACGAGGCCGTTGCACCTCACCAAGAAGAAAGAGAATGGACAGGCGTCCGCTAGCAGTCATTTAACTCTATCTCAATGTGCTCGCGTACAAAGATGCGTCACTATATACACGTCTATACTATGCACGATTGGGAATACATGCACAATGCACGCGCACAATAGTTTGGCGCTTTCTGTACTAGCATGGCACTGAGAATTGACTCAGACTATATAAGTGGCAGAGGTGTCAGCACATGTCAGCACCTCTTTTTAACCGAAATTGGAGCAGACTCAAAAGGCTACTGCAAAGGACCTTCCCGCCTGTTGCCGAACTTCCCGCTACTTAAAACTGAGATTCAATTCAATTACGCCTTGGTTTCATCACTCAAGCCGCCTTGGGACACGGCACCTGCGATCAGAGCAGAGACACCATAAAAACATAAATCATACTAGGAGCAAAGGGCAACATCGCTACTAGGAGCAAGGGCGCTACTAGGGGCTCCTAGCCGCACTACTAGGAGCAAGGACGCCACTAGGGGCTCCTGGCCGTACTACTAGGAGCAAGGACGCTACTAACTGCAGGCCTAAAAAGTGAGATGAAATCAATCGCGGCAAGAGACATTCACGTCCATATGGTGCCGGGCGGGAGAGCTAGGGCGGCGAATGAGGATTACTCAAGAAAGTTTGAGACCGGAAAGGCGAGAAGGATTTGGAAGGTACCTCTACCGAGAAGAATTCGGCTTGTAGACACAGCGTGTTGCTTCCTCTCATGCGACTTCTTTGCAATATAGACCTGTTAAATACCAGACAGAATGTTTTGCTGACAAACCTCGCGAATTGAGCACAGTTCTCTCAAAGGAGTCTGTGTGTGTGTGCAGACCCAAGTGAGCAAAGCACTGTCAAATTTCCAGATGTTGAATTCCAAAGGCCAAGAACGATAAAGACGATGAAAAGGGAAAACAGACGGGAGTCCTCTTCACCTCCACGAGTAGGCAAACAGGAGCTGACAACTGCCATGTCCCAACTAAAAACCCTCATGCCCCCCAAGCCAAGACCGCAGTTTGTTTGTTCAAATCTGAAAGGGTGACCAAACTCAAGAAGAATCAGACAAGAAGGACGAAGAAGCTTGCAGCAAGAGCAAGCCAGTGTGCTAGTCAACAACAAAATGACATGTTGCCACAGGTTTGAGTCTTGGTGACCGAGTGGATGACATGCATGTCTCATGTCAGCTCTGTTTCATGCATTCTACAGTACAAAGATGATGAAACACGAGTCCGGACGAGTCCAATTATATATAGCCAGTTATACCATGTTATTATACCCCTGTTTCAAGGAAAAGGGTCAGGCGTTGTGATTGCTGTCAGTCAAGCATGTTCCAGTTGAGCTACAGGATGACAAGCCAGAGAAGCCTCCTCGTCCGCCGCCTTGGCCCCAAATCTGTTTGAATATTAAAATGCCGTAGCAGAGCAAGGTGCCTTACTAGTAGCTTGTTACTACTAGTAACTAGTAAGGCACCTTGCTATTGGCCCCATGAATGTCAAAATGTATTCTCTTGATATTATTCAGTAACGGCCGAAGCGAGCGCTCTCAACTTCTTGGCCTTGTCCGAGAATGGTGCCCAATTCGCATGTGCTCGCATGGCTTGGACTCCAGGCGGGGTAGCGCAGCTCCAAATGGAACAAGCAGGCAGGAAAGAGTTGCGAGTACTTCAAGTTTCACGTTGAGCTAGTTTGTACGTTCCTTGTGTGGTGCCTACAAAAGCTACCCGCATGCAAGCGTTGTTTGGTAAACTATGGTTTGGAATGAGCATGGGACTCAGGGTTCCATTTTGCCTCAAAAGTTGGGACACAACATGTAAAATGTTTAAAGGACTGCTCTCACGGTCCCGCTTAAGTTACCTGCTTCCAAGGCCACCTGTGTCGTCACCAAGGCCCACCGATATACGTTGATATCGACTCAGCAAGGGGTCGTTCAACTAGGTCGACCGCCCATAACCTGCCGTGGTGCGCAATGGCAATTCTGATCACCATCATGATTGGTATGCACATAATTAGTTTGGGGAAGATTCGTTCAGCGTTTTCAAGGATTGAATTGCGTAATTACATTCAAATCAAGTTGCCCCCGACTATCAAGTGTTGGCAAGTTTTTAGGGTTGTGTAATTATTTATATATTTGGGGTTTATTACCACACAAGCTCCTTTTCAAACGTCTGTTTTCAGGCTCCGTGTGCTTTCAGAAATGTTTTCAAAGCTGAGTAGAACTCTTTTGGGGTCGCAGGCATCACAGACTGTCGGAAAACAAACTGAAAGATGATGTCTTTCAATGCTGGGTCAAGCTTTCTGTGACCTTTGACCTTCACACTGACAGAAATTTGTTTCCCAGGAAACTAGAAACATTGACATTGAAGGACCATGTGTAAGTACTTTTCCGGGGAACACACCGTGATTAGGAAAATTATCATGCATCCACAACGGACGTTATTATTCCCCTCACCCCCCAGAGCCCATGTTTATGACACAAAAAATCGATGACATGTCCAAAAAAGATCAAACCACCACAGCCTGTTATGGGCGGTGTTCCAACTACGTAGGTCAAGCAAGAGAAGTCGTTCTGCACCAGGGCCTCCGAGGCGTTGCTCAATTCTGTCTCATCTTGTTTCGCATCCAACGAATGCGCTGGAGATAGATTCCCAATGAAGGTTGGTGTGAACTTGTTGAAAATGTCAAGTCCCTGAAAGGCGCCTTTATGTCTTTGGTTTCAGGTGTGCCTTGATTCTGCCACCTATCGCCCGAAAGAGCTCGCCGAGAGGACTTGGCCAGAAGGTTTGTTTGTTCTGCTATTGTTCAACATGATAACCAAGATGGTTTCGATCCATGGCAGGCAGATGTTTAGCTTTGTTTAGCGTTTTTACATGACATGATTTTGATATACCACCGCAAAGGCCCTTTCCTTTTCCTTTTCCTGGAAGGAGATACAAGCTCAGCAGCAAGGAACAGGCCAGAGAATTCTGATGAAGAAGCAGATTAAACTCCTGTAGAAGAGCTATTAAGTCCTGGTGTATGTGGTCAATGTACAAAGAAATGTGTGTACCATACCTTCGAACGGATGAAAGGTCTTCATCTGCAAGACCAGCAAGAGCATGCCTGCCATTGAAGAGCGTGTCATGCTGGCTTGATCTGGAAACACATATTATATATATATATACTATCTATTTCTACTCAGACCAGAATAATACGATGAGAGCCAATGATGCGGACAGCCAAAAAGAAACATTTGGTTTTGCGAATATTTGCCAGGCAACTGCTGATCTGAGCCCATGATAATTGTGCGGTTCTTCAGCCAATCAAATCTGATCAAAGAGTGTTGGCGTCTCCAAAAAACGCTCTTATTGTTGAAAATGCGAGTTCTTGTGCCTTGAAGGCATTGCCAGAACTGCAGAGTTACAGTATGTCAGCTGTTTTTCCATTTCGAGGAGAAGATGACTGCAGATCGGTGCAGATCCCAAAGGAAGAACTGTGAACATGGTCCATGACAAAAGAAAGGTTTGGACCTGGATTTGTTAGCATGGTATGCCAAATACATAAAAGTATGGCATGGTAGAAATCAAGCTCCATACTGATATAGGTAGAAACGCTCCTATACAATATATCAAGCTCCATGCTATCGAGTATGGCATCCATGTCATTTATTGTTCAATAGGTGAGAGGTGAGAGAGAATTGAGGGAATTTGAGCAGCCTTCCAGCAAGCTCGATGCATGGGCTGAGACCAATCTGGCTCGGCACAATGCCCTTTGTGGGCTATCCTGAAACTTCTGCAAAGCAGTATCAAGAAACATTAGATCTCCTGTCTAGCCAATGGCCTTAAAAAGAAAGACAAGCCAAGGGCATTTAGATTTCTTGCTTTGGGGCTGTGCATGTGGGTCAACACTGTCAGCAATCTTTTGACCGCTTGGCTGCAGCTGGTGTCACGTTTAGTACTTCAGAAAAAATAAGGCAAGCGCGTAGCTAGAGAGGCCAGATGTTCGAAATAGTTCAGTTCATACAGATCTCAAAGTCCATCACTTGCAAGCAAGTGTTTTGGTGGAGAAGATGCTGGGATGCTAGCGCCCCGCTGTTCTGTTTTGTTAAGATGAGATACTTTGTCTCTGTGGTTGGACACATGGTCCTGTAAATACAGCGAAAAAGAAGCATGAAGATTCATTCACGACACTGTGAGCCAAAGATTTGATTATTGCAATGGCAAGAGTGGATTCAGACTACTCAGATGAGGAGTTTCGTTGAATGGAAGCGCACGGAAGTGTTGGTTGTTGTGAAAAGACAGGAGAGCGAAGAAAGCTCCGACAAAGTAAAGAAAAAGAAGAAGAAGGAGAACAAAATACAGCATGTCTACGGGCCTGATCGTCGAATGTCACAGGGCAGCTTCAGAGTCTTGCTTGGCGAATTTGATCGAATTTGTGTCTTCCCAAGTTCTTGCAGTTGGTTGTACGTGTGCATGCAGCTAGAGGAGAAGAAGGAGAAGAAAGGCAAAAAAAACAGCAAGAAAGAAAAGAAGGTACTTGTAGCTTACAGCCATGCCTGGACAGATATATTCTTGCATAAGACGTCTGGGTAACTTGGAATAATTGCGTTGTCAATCTTTGTCCCATCAAGGGCTGTGTGGCAGTGCTGCAAATCGAGGCTAAAAAAGAAAAGAAGGAAAAGAAGAAGGCGAAAAAGAAAAAGAAGGCGAATATTGACAGGTTGTTTGATGTTTTTTGCACCGGCGGCCCAAGGGGCATACAACCTGGTTCTGCCTCCAGCAGGAGAAGAAGAGAAGAAAGAGTCCAAGCTATTCTGACTACAGTGAAACTGGCATCAATTGACTTGAGCGGTTGGATTCCCTCAAAGGTGATTGGCAAGTTCTTTACCTTGCTTGTATTTCCATGCAAAGTTCAATTTCGACAGCAGGTTATAGCTGTGGTGACAGCAGAGACTCTAGAAGCTGCAGCCGCAGCCGTAGTCGAAGCAGCTTGGCCCAACTTGGCAAAGTCCATTGATTGAACTTGTGATGTTTGGATAATGAAAGTCCATCGGAGTTCAGGCCGTAGCCGTGGTCGACAGCCAGCAGCACGATCCCCTGCCAGGTCCAGTTCTGACGCTAAACAGAATCGGACAGCAGCCCTCGCCAAGTAAGATAATCATTCAGCGGACACGTACCAATGGATGCTTCAGCCCGGGCGATTGCATTTCAAGAAAACTCGAGGGTTGCAAAACGCAGTGTCTATCCAAAGAGGTACACTGCAGCTGGGGGTGGTGGTGGCTACGGTAACTTTGGTGGAGCACAGGGCAGATATGGGCAGAACCGGCTTGATTTCAGACACTTTTCCAGTTTCTCCCTAGTCTCTTGGAAGCCAGGTGCGCACGCAGCCGGAGCAGGTTTGGATGGCCCACGTGTTCCAAGAGAATGGGTAACACGGTGATTGCACTTGTTACTAATAGCTTCTAGCTACTAGTAGCGGTGCCCTTGTTACTAGTAGCAATTTTGTTTTGTCTTTCCACTGACCGCCGATCTTTCCAGCACTGGCATGAACCCGCCAAGCGTGACACGCCAGCTATTGTGCATCAGCATGAACGAACCATGTACCTGAGCCAGCAAAGCGACGAACGAAGGGTGGAGCACCTACATGCAATGAATTGAATATACATATATATATATATAATTATATAGAGAGAGAGATAGATTCAAAAAGAAAAACTAGGAAAAACATAGTTCCGGCAAGTGAGTGGGAACAAACATGACCAAACCTTGCATGTTTGCTTCCTTCGTTGGGCTGCTGGAAGAAATACCAAAATTGAATGAAAGCGTCAGATCCTTGGTGTCCCAGCGTTTGTTGCACATCGAATCTGGGATCGTCGGGGAGCAACCAAAGGGATTGAAGCTGGAAGGTTCGTACTCCGGACAAAAACAAAAACGTAAATCGACCAGCAATTCAAGGGATAGAGTCTTTGTTGGCTCCCGGGGCTGGCCATTGAACTACACTTTGAAATTTTACCCAGCGGTGAATTCTGCGTCACCCAAATGAATATGGTGACATGATGTCAAACGAGCAAGACGAAAAAAGCCCCCAGGCACAAGGTGGTGCAAGCTCTTCGGCGGAACTTGACGATCGCTTGTTGTGCGCACACCTGTTCAAGTTTGTCAAAAACTAGCCTGGGCAATAAATAAATAGATACTTTGCACCAATTAGTGAAAACCTGACATGTTTGACCGCGTGGACTGAGTTCAAAAGATTAAACTTGATAGCTTCTGCAGCAGTCAGCCAGGAGTCCTGCGTGGGCGGTCCCTGCTGCAGCCCAAGTCTTGCTTGGCCATGTGTGGGCAATGGCAATTAGATTCAACGAGATGAACCGAGCACAAAAACAATTCCTTTTGTTGGTCCCTTCTCTTCAATACCCTCGCTTGTCGTGACTAGGCTCCCAGGTCACCAATGAAGTTTCCAGAGGGTCGGCCCTTAACCCTGGCGGAGGCCTGTGAGGCGTGCGGGCCACAAACAACGCGCCGCAAAAATACAACTGCAGTGCCACTGCGCAAGACTTGAAATGGTGAACATTGTGAAACATGGTGAAGCCATGTATAAATATGTGTATATATATATATGTATAAAGCCATTTGCAAGTGAGGCACATTGAATTGACCTGGTGCAAAAAGTTGTTGCTCGGCGTCAGGCTGCTGGCAGAGGGTTCACCACTGGTAAAACTGCTCAAGATGATGAAGTGCAGGTTCTCAACCCAGATGAGGACTCAACTAGAACAACATTGAAGCATAGCAGCAGAGTCCTCAATTTCATCAAATTTAAAGATTGAAACAAAACAGGAGCCTATCGAAGCAGACAGGCTCATACCCAAGAGACAGATTCCAATGCCTCACATTGGAAGAGCAAGTTGCATTGGGCACAATTGCTGAGATAGATATAGATGATGTCAGTAGGTTGAAACACACCATTCTTGCTTTTTGTCCATTTGCAGCTTTGCATATGTGTGTGTACAACAGTTCGAGCACCCAAGGTATGCCACGTTTGAAGATGCTCGTGATTTTCCTCGTGAAATCCGAGAAGAGCTCAAGTGAGCCTTCGATTTGCTGTTGTATTTGTTATATAGTAAGTTCCAAGTATGACACGTCAAACTTTGTTTCTTGCTATTGAATGTTGTGTTGTCCAACTGTCTCTAGCAGCCAAGCTTATAGCCAAGCTTTTGGGTATGGCAGGAACGCTGGCTTTCCTTCACCTTCGCAGATCCAGGTGGGCTTAGGAATACCGAATGCAATGAATGTAAACCAAAAGAGATGGAAGCAGCCTCAACAGCGAGTCGCTTTGGCCTCGAAATGTCAATCTGCAGCAAGTTCTAAAGGCAGATTTATTTTCAGCCACAGGCCTACACCTGGCCCTTGGGCTTGCGGGGTAAGGACATCATAGGCATGGCCACACCGGTAGCTGAAGTACAAGCCATTTGTTTCCGCATCATATGGCCCCCAGCCTTGATAACCTTGTTTCGAAGGCATAGCCGCCACTGGCAGTGGAAAGACTCTAGCCTGGTCACCAAGCGAGCGACAGATCATCAAGTATCCGTGAGACATGCAAGTCCGTTTGTGTTGGCATATAATTGAGGCATTTCTCTTGCCAGCTTTTGCACAGATGGTAGAGGAGGCAGCTGCACAGCACTTGAGCAAGATCATTGTCGGTAGTTTGCAAGTACCCTCTCAGATTACAAGAACAGTATGTTCCGGCAATGTATAATTATATATGTATTACATATGTTGTGTTTTTAACATCTATTTTTTTTGTCCATTTGTATTTGGCATTGCTCCATTGTTTTTTGTGCATGGCAGAACCACCGCCCTGAACGAGATGGTCCTGGTGCGCTTGTGATGTCTCCAACGTGCGCGACCCAGGACACAGTGAAAAACTTGGTTAACACACGCTAAATGTTGATGTCGATATACCTGACACTCAAAGTCATTCTTGACCGGCTGTTGGGTGACAATCTGATAGTGAAAATCTCCATCCAGGCGAGAGCTTGCACAGCAGACGGAGGCAGAGGCAAGCCCTCGAGTCCTCGAGTTTTGATTCGCTGTGCACAAGTCACTAAAGCCACTTCAGAAAGCTTCAGACATGTTCGTGTCTATTTTGTCTCTTCTAGGCACAGCGGTTCGGAAAGTGCCTTGGTTTCCGCTGTGTTGCCATGCATCGACCTCGGGTGTGTAGTCGCAGCAAGGCGCTGTTGGCAGGGGTTCATGTAATGTTGTCGCGCTGCAGGTATGGTGGTGCACCGAAAGGTGAACAAATGGCTAGATATCGTCAAGGTTGCCAGCATGTGCCTGAGGATACAAACAAGATGGCACCTACCGCTGTACTCTTCTCCTTACAAAAATTTTGAGAGCCCCTAACTTCCTCCTGTAGGTTTTAGAGTGTGCGACTCTGTGACTTTGTTTGATTGTATGGCAGATGCCTTCAGAAAGCCTGGACACTCAGTACCATTGTGGCCTGCCCCGGTCGGCTCAATGATTTCCTTGAAGGTGGGCAGGTGCCAAGCCCAGACTTTGGAGGTGACTGGGCAGTTCACCTTCTTTTTGTTCCTCTCCATTTCCCTTCTTACTGTATAATACTGTATATGTTCAAGCTATTTCCAGCTACCGCAATGATTGGACGTTCTCCGACTTTAGGTTCGATTGGATGGCGTGTTGAAGCTCGTCCTGGATGAGGCTCGCATAGAATCGGCCAGGTGAGCTGCCCGCCAGAGGTTCACTTTGCTAACATCGAAAGAGGGTTGAGTCTGGCAGTGCTTTCAGCAAAGATTGTGACGGTTATATTAATGAGCTGTATAAAGCTATAAACAAGTTATATGAAAGCTATATGAATGTTCATAAAAGTCAAAATAAATCGGAAGAGTTGTGAAGAAGAACTGTCACTACAACCACTCATCTGCTCCGCTCTGCTCTGCTCTTTTCGGGGTAGGAGGGTAGGAAGCGGGTGGGCGGTGAAGACCGAAGAGGAAGGGAAGCTAGATAAATTAGACAATCTAATATGTTATACATATACATGTACAGTATATGTTATTTATGAATATAGTTATTTATTTGTGTTTATATTGTTGTTTGTTTTATCGATGCTACTTCTTTGGCTTTTATCACAAAGTTTGGCTCTTGGCAGGCTGACCGGATGCTGGATATGGGATTTGAGCCACAAATCCGCAAGATCCTTGCCAAGGCACGATCCATCAAGAAGATCGTCATTCTTCATTGTCCATCGTCATTCTTCGAAACTTCTGCCAGCTCCCACGCAAGCGCCACACGCTCTTCTTCACTGCAACATGGCCAAAGGAGGCAGCGGGACCATCGCACCTTGATTTGACATGTCTTTGTTTGGAATGTGTGTGTGTACGATATTTGCAGGTGCGGAAGTTGGCATCAGAGATTTTGAACAGGTGGGGGTCAACAGGAATTGCTGTTTGCCTGTTCGAACTTCTTCCGTCCATCTATGTGCGCGGTGAATTGACAGGCCGTACAAAGTCATGATTGGAAACCGAGAAGTCTTGAAAGGCAACCAGGAGCCTGACGGGACTCACAGCTTGAGATCCAAGGTTTGTGCACCTGTTCATGTGATTTCATATAGTTATATTATATATATACATACCAAGCGCAGCTTGTTTCTGGAGGACATCACCCAGATTGTGAGAGTCATGGATGCCTTCAATAAGAACCGGGAGATCGTCACGACTTTGCGGGAGGCCATGTGCTCGATGAAACTGACACAGATTGTAATTTCAGATGCCAGCTTCGGGCGAGAATCAAGGAGTTGCCATGAATAGCCTATCTGTTTGCAAGCAGTCATTCATGCAAGTCAATGCAAGTCTATCACCGTTTTTGTTCAAGTGGCGTGTCTCTCGATACGGAGTTGTACAAGAGACTTACCAGGGTTCCAACCATAGAGCTGCAAGGAGTCTCCGTGTGTTGGAATTTGATGGAATTTGTATGAATTTGTTAAGACATTGCAAAAGAGGAATTTATTGACATTGCTGGGTGCCCCTTGACTTGACTGGCAAGGCGGGCCTGACCACTCCAAGTGCAAGCGGCAAGGCAAAGCGGCCTCAAATGATAGGGGCAGATGATTGGCACAACATGACACAACTATGGCGCTGAATGATCATGCTCGGAGGAAAACGGAGTGATACTGCTAGTGTACTATGACAAAGATTGTTTGAGGTTCATTCCTCATGAGACTTCTGGTTTTGCTGTAATTTGTTTTATTTATGCAGTCTATTTGCAGTGTGACATAACTCTCATCCAGCCGTCCGAATACAACTGCCCCATCTCCCAACTCAACCTGGTGAGGCGCTCGTCTTCTGCAATACCAAGAGGATGTGTGAGAACTTGTCGAACGAGTTGCACCGGCAGGGTGCGGGCAAAAGAAAGGGCTTCAAAGTGCGGGTCCATGACGCCATGAACGTCTATGCTGCAGTCTCAACGAAGCCCAAATGGCCTATATAATTGCAAATAGAATCCCTATACAACACCTAATAGCAAAAGGAGCCTACTAGCGATGGCCTCCAACCTGAGAGCGATGGCCTCCAACTTGATGAACTAGTTTGCCGCTAGGTCTACCTTGCACGTCTATTCATGGCGACAAGGACCTGCAGTTTGGTCACGACATTGGAGTGCATCCGCATTTGAGAGCCTGCAAGTTTCTTTTTTGATGTGTGTTTGTGTGTGTGTGTGTGTCACCACCTGTTTCTAAGGAATTTAATTGTACAGTGCAGGGGGCCAGCGGCCGACAAGCAAACGCTGGCTAACAAAGCTATGTTTTTTTCGGTGGATGCACTAATGCGCTTGTTCCAACAATTCTTTTCTCCGACCCAGCCCTTTTGCCGTTCCATCAAGTCAAGTGCTAAGTATTCACCTAAAGGGCTAACGCACTGGGAGATCATAACTGCTACCGCTCTTGCAAGCCTTGATCTAAGCGTGTTTCGCCACAGAGTCCCACTGTGGGCTGCGGTGTAATCCCCGACGAGGGGCGCCGCATGTGCACATGCCCGTAAGTCTTGCACCTGATCCTTCCACGATCCACGGTCTTGCACGAGAACGCCGATCCTACGCCGCAGAGCTTACTGAGATCGGACAACAAAGAATGACATACATTTTCATGCGGCTAAGTAGTCATAGGCTTCATAGGTTTCAGGCGAGACAGCTAAGTAATCACCCTTTTCGACGGGGGTACCTTAAGAAAAGAATGTTGGGTACCAACTAGTTCCCGGAATCTTTTTGGTGGACTCTTCTTTTTTGGGATTCTTTTTGTGTAAGGGGTAGGGTCAGGGTATGTCAGGGGTGGGGTCAGATTCTTTATTGAATGTTGGAGGACTGTAGAGTATATCATACATACATTCACATTGAAGTTTCTATGTTTTAATGATGAAATTGTTCTTTGCTCAAACCAAGTCTTTGAAATGGAATGATCTTCAGCAAACGGGATTGCCACGTCACAGATTGAAGAGCAAGGGCCTCCAACATCCTTCAACCTAATAGGGTGGGGTTGAACTACCAGGTACGCAGGAACCTTTTTGATTTTTATTTATTCCATATGTCAATTCACACGCAGATTCTTTTTGAGTATATAAATATGCGCAAGCATTGCAGAATATGTTGGAAAAGAATCGGGTGGGTCTGGAGGGGGGTACACAAGGACCCACCCATCTTTTTCGGCTTCTTCTTCCTGCTGTTGCTCTTCGTTTTTTAAGTCGTTTCTCGTTTTTCCAAGGGGTTTTTAGGTGTAACTGAGGCTTTTCAGTCAAGGGTGCGCCTACTTCGGTTTTTTGAGAAAGTGCCTTCGGGCCTGTACCCCCAAACCCCCCCACCCCACACACACTGAACCCTTTCGTTCCTTGCTTTTCTGACAAAGCTAGAGGGAAATCACGAAAACTAGCGAAGCTCGCTGGAGTTACTCTTGCGATAGCAAGGTTTCTTTCGACCGGGTGCAAATCCTAACCCCTGATTTTTCAGGTCGAAGACCCCCCCCCACC